GACGAGCACCTGTTGCGCCAATGGGAACGAGAAAGTTGCGTGAGGAGCTGGAGGCGGAGGCCGAACGTAGTGAGCCCATACTGCTGCTGACAGAAAGGCCATTGAGTGGGTTTGAGAACGAGTTGTGCGTCTGAGGACCCCAGCTGGGAATGGAAGGAAAAGAACCACATTCGGCGGCATTGCGACGAGGCGTGCTGTCTGCATTGGAGGACTGGAGGCCATCGCTGGGCTTGCGCTGTGAGGAGAGAGAAGAGGAAGAAGCACTGCTGGAGAGTCCAAGACGTTCGCTGAGCGATCTCTTCTGATTAGCGGGAGTGGCGATGCCGAGTGAAGCGGGAATTTGAGATGCTGACGATTGTGTAGAGCTGGAACTGGGGTCGGATCTGCGACCCATAGCATGCTGCATGTTGCCGTTGCCGTGTAGAGTGAGCTATATCGGTTTCCGCGTTCTGTTCTGTGCTGAGAAATAGGCGCTGAAGCAATGCAGCTAGGAAGGGGCAGGAGCCACAATCAAAGACGGGGCCGAGTTAGAGCTTCAGTGTAGCATTTGGGACAAGGAGACGACGGTAGCCACAAGTTGCTGTTACTGGTCTTGTATGGACCAAGGGGGTAAGCCTTTGGAGCTGAGCGCCTAGAGTCGCTCCAGATGCGAGAGGCGAGTATATTGGGCTGATGGTTCGTAGGAAGCTCTTGAAGAGATGAGCGCAACGAGGTTGTGACTTGGAGGCTTCTGCCACACGCGCGCACCGTGTGGTCAACTGGACAAGCAGGTGGTAGATGCACAAATTAGGGTCCAAGCTGAGAGTTGCGCGTAAAGCTGGATATGCAGCGGGCGGGCGCGATTAGCGTGGAAGAATGGTATGTGATGACCGTAGATGAGCAATGATCCGTGCGATTGCGATGGTGTTGGAGACTGGTGGGAGAAAGCGCTTTGTTGCAGATACTGGAGGGAGAGATGCAGGGAAGTGTTTGATGCGAGCTCTGCGGAGAGAGGCTAAGGAAACGTTGATGTAGATCGAAAGGAAACGAAAAGGAGAATGATGTTGGAACTAGCAGATGTCGAATTGAGCTGCTACCAACCGAAAAGGAGAAGGTCGATGGTGTGAATATGGAAGCGAATGGCAGAGGGAACGGGAATGATTGTGTCGAGATAGGTTGAGGAGCGTTAAAAGTCGGGGTGAGCGAGGCGAGGCACGCTCTGGTGGCATGAGAGACAGCAATAGCAGGGAAGCACCAAAAGTGGCTTCAGCTGAAAGAGACCGCACACACACACCGAAATTCAAAATCACACAGCAGAAGGCGGCGGTGGTGGTTAGAGAGCGGGAGAAAGAGAGAACGTGTTCCAAGCGAACGTCAGTCGAGTCGAGAAATGCAAAAATTGCGAATTGCGAATTGCGCTCCATTTTCCGCAAGAAGTGAGAGGGAAAAAGAAGGAAAAAGAAAAAAGAAAAAAAGAAAAAAAGAAAAAGAAAAAAGAAAAAAGAAAAAGAAAAAAAGGTGTCTCAGGAATGAGAAAAAGAAGCTTCTCTCTGACCTATTTTTGCTTCACTGTATGAGACGTATGAGACTGAAATTACATGCTCGGAGTTGGATTTTGCCTCTTGTCGACATAAGAAATGTGCCGCTTTCCACGTTCACACATTCGGCCTCGTGCCACTCTGGCTTGCTCTGACCGAATTGCGGTAAGTACAAACAGCGCTTGAGAGGCAAATGAGCTGCGCGGAGAGAGCTTTTGCCGGGGGAGCCGACATTGCAGTTCATTGTGGGTCGCATGGCAAACTCAATCACAGCGATAAGGCCAGACTGAGTTTGATCACTCTCACCCTCTGTCTCTCTCTTGGCTGTCGGTGACGTCTAAAACGGGTGGAGTGGCTGCTATTATGGTCGGTCGATCCGTTAGGATCACTCATTCACCTGTGTTCTTTGCTCTGATGCTGGCTTGCATCATGGATGGTTCGAGTTCAAATGGGCACTTCTCATCCACAATCAAGGTTCAATCATTGATTCGAAAGCGACTGAATTCACGCATGGCGTGGGAAGGAGGACCGGCAAGGAGGGCCAAACTAGGCTCCTATTTCTCTCCATGATGATTTTAATTGGCTCTTCGCTGTCTCTGCCCGCCTCTTGCTTCTTGTTTTCTGCCTACGGTAAAGTCGAAGGACGAGGCGCGCAACCGAATCCGTCAGCTGTTGTGACTCTGTGCCGCAGTTGCTGCCCTCCTGACTCTGCCTCCGTCTCTTCGGCAAAGCCGATCGATCGATTCCGAGTCCCGTCTGTCTCTCTCTCTCTCTGTAGCGCTTACCGCCTGCCTTCTGCACCCTGTTCCGTGTGTCTCTCTATCCTCTCTCTGGACCTCATCACCACCTTCGCCAACACTACCACCATCGCTTCGATCCGTATTGGCGGGTATACACGCTGCAAATCCTTGGTCAGGTGGTAGAACAGTAGAAGGTGCTTTCGTCTTTTTGGCTTACGGGTTCGTCCGCCGGTTAAAGTCGACCGAATCAATACCGCAAGTTCTCACCAGTACGACCTGAGCGGCGCCTCTCCCAGCTACTCAAGAGAAGCAGTCACAATGCAACGCTAGTAAAGGATCCCCTCACGACCTATTCCCGCTCCAACCGAAAGGGCTGTATCATACCACATACACGTAGCGGCCAAGAGCTGCTTCATCAAAACGCGTCAACAAAATGGTCTACCTTTCTCCACCCAACCCGGAGTGGCCAGCGTGCACCCTTTCCTACCGTCATTTCCATCTACTCTGGACCCTCCCTCTCTGCTTGGTCCTCTACCTCATCGCTCGACCCTTCCTCAACAAACTCGACCGCGCCAAACTCATCCTCCTTCCCATCATCGCCTTTGTCTGGACCACACCATGGGACAACCTCATCGTTTACAACCGTGCTTGGTACTACCATCGCCATTGCATCTGGTTCACCATCGGCTACGTTCCGATTGAAGAGTACTTCTTCTTCATCATTCAGAGTCTTATCTCCACCCTTTGGTGTACGCTTTTGACTCGGTGGTATTTGCCCAACATCTACCTTGTTCCAACAACGACGCAAGGCAAGCAAAGGAGATGGGCCACGCCGACATTGGTGGCTTTTGCGGCTTGCTTTGTGGTCGGAACCAAGATGGCGAAACCCGACACGCATGGCTACTACTTTGGCATGATCTCATGGTGGGCATCCCTGCCATTGGCGTTGCTGCTGTGGGGCTCGATCGACTTCATCCGCAACATGGGTCTTCGCACCGGGCTAGTGCCGTTTGCGCTCTCAGTGATGGCTCCCACAGTGTACCTCTGGTGTTCCGACGTCTACGCACTGCGCAGGGGGACATGGCACATCAATGAAACGACCTCGCTCAACATCTTCCCCATCCCAGACTTGCCAGTGGAGGAATTGCTTTTCTTCTTCGTCACCAACCTCATCCTCGTCAGCGCCTGTTTCACGTTCGATCGCTGCGTTGCCATCTGTCGACAGACCGGATCTGCCGACCTCCCACCTCTTTCGCCCAGCTACCTCCCTCTCAACTCCCTCAGCACCTACATCAAGCTCTGGTCCGCGTTCCTTCGATCGGATCGAGAACCTTTTCTCGCAAGTGCGGCGTCAGCAAGCGTCGAGCCAAGCGATCTCGTAGCCTCATTGAACGTGTTACGAGCTGCATCAAAGTCTTTCAACGCTGCGAGCTTGTTGTTGCCCTGGGATCTGCGGACGGATTTGGGCTGTCTGTACGCCTTTTGCCGCGTCGCGGATGACTTGGTCGATGACGAGGCCGAGAGCGTCGAAGCCAGGACAGCCCACTTGGAGGTGATCCGAAGTATTGTCGATGCGATCTATACCAGCATCGCTGAAGTTGACAAGGTGCCGTCAGAGGCAACGCCTACCAGCAGCCGGATCAGAGACCTTCTCTCGCCGATCAAGCTTGCAGAAACAACAAAAGAGGATATCCGCACAGCAGCAGCATCAATAGCACCCCTTTCGCGGTACATCCCGAAAAGGCTCTGGTTTGAGATGTTGGAGGGCTACAGCACCGATTTGCGGTTTGAACATCCAGAAGAGGCCCAAAGGACAAGGCTGAGGACGATGGAGGATCTGGTCGAGTACTCGCAGTGCGTTGCTGGTGTGGTGGGCGAGATGTGCACAAGAGTCATATTGGGTAGGTGTGGTTTGACAGTGCCGCTTGACTTGCAAGTCGATAGGAGTATCAAGATGCAATCCACACCAGCGACCGCAGACAAGTCAGCAGCAGAGAGAAAGCTAGACCTCACCCGAACAGCAGACTTAGACATATTGTTGTACGAAGCAAGACGAATGGGTGTTAGCTTACAACTGGTCAACATTGCACGTGATATCGTACCTGACGCTGTCGACCTGCGACGCTGCTATTTACCAGCTGACCTGTTTGCCAAGGTTGATGCAGGCATGCAAGATGCGTTGCTACAAGGCCGACTCGATGTACCTGCCGAACCCTCTGCGAAGCGCTCAGCAGTAGCAGCAGCAACGACAGCCTCTGCGGCAGGAGGCAAGCTGATCAAACCCAAAGAAGTACGCAAATACGCTTTGCGACTGCTCACCATCTCGAAAGGGCTGTACGATCAATCCTACCCAGCATTAGGGCAGATTCCCAACAAACCGGCAAGAGCAGGACTGAAAGCAGCTTGCTCGGTATACGCTGCTATTGGGACACGAATCGAAGCACAGACAGAGAAGGAGATCGCTACCGGTAGAAGGGCGAGGATGTCTAACTTTGATCGGATCATGAAGGCTATCTCGGCTGTCTACTTTGGTGTTTGAGCGGCCGGTGCTACACCGCGACAATTGTATTACATTGTACGAAATGGAAACCTTCATCCCAAATCCTTCGACCAACGAGCTGTCCGACGACGTTACCCTCTGTAACGGCTTCGTGTGCATCCAATATTCGCAAGGGTGTGTTGGGCTGGTATCAGCAAAAAAATAAATCGAGGGAAAAAAGTGTGCGGAAAATAGGTAAAAAAATGCGACCAGCGGGGTTCGAACCCGCGCCCTCCTCTTTTAACCACCTGGTAGGATATGTGGGAAAGAGACGTGATAGCCACTACACTATGACCGCAACTTTAACATGCCGGGCAGGTAAAAATCATAATATTAGCGTTAAAGCGCTTTGGGATGATCTGCAAGTTGAAAGCTCTTTTGTTCCATCACTCGGTATGGATACGGTCATGGCCCACCCTGCATAATTGAGAGCTCAGAGCTGCTTGGATTGAGCCCTTTGACGGCCATACAGCCAGTCATGAGCGATCAGAGACGGAATTCAAGGGTGACTGTGGGGTCTGGAGAACGGTAAAACGGCTAAAATCCCTCCTTCGGAATGGACGGCGAGGAAGCGGGTAAGCAAACGCTGTCAGGGTGATCAACTGATAGCGAGCTTGTAAATTAACCCAAACTGCACACAGCACACAGCGGGGGTAGGGGGGAGATGAAAACGACACTGATTCGAGAGCAATGCATTTTTTGAGCAGGTGACACCAGCTTGCGGAACAAGCATGCCGTGTGGGGCTCCGACTTTCGACCCTGCACCAGCACCACTGAGAATCTGGCCGCCTTGCTTGTTTACTGCCAGTTTTCGACAGCGCAATCAGCCGCTATCCGTACAACACTCGAAGACAGCAGATGAGACAGCTCGAGCGCTCGGTGCAAGCATACCTTGGCAATGAAGGAGATTCCGAAGAGGATTACGTGAAAGCGAGTTCGTCAGGAGAAATACTGTAACAAATATCCACCCTTTCCGCTACTCGTCCGCATCACCGCCGTGAATGCCGAAAACTGTGTTTTTCTTCCTCTTTTTTTCTTTTCTTTTTTTTTGCGGCTCATCATCAACAACTCTTGGCTCACCTGACAGATGGTTGACAGCAGCAATTTGGATGTCAAACATACATATCAACGGTGAGTTATCTCACGCGCCTGAAGTCTGTGTCAGAATGTTAAATTGCCTAACTCAGGTGAGTCGCTTGCGGGCTCCCAGCCGTGGCCGTAAGAGGCACGGCCGGTCGAGCGCCGCGTGAGAGCGAGGCGGAATGCGCGTGAGAACGAAGTACAAAAGAGATACGTGAGAAGCATGAACCATCGGGAGAAGAGAAGGGAGGGAAGGGAGGGTGAACTTGACAAAGCGCAGCTAGGAGGCTTGCGCAAGAGGAGAGAAGATGATGGAGAAGAAGCAACAAGAGCGACAGGAGATGAGATGAGCAATATCAAGTGACACGACTCAGGTCACGTGCCTTCGCCCACCATTGAAACCAGCGCACGTTCCATTCGCACGACTCCACTTCGTAATGCAATGCTGATCTGACTGGATACTGGCCGGTATATCCTTCGGGCTCGAGAATCCCACTCGACGTGCATGGCATCGGAGATGTGGGAAGCTTCAGATCAATGGAGCCCCGACTTTGTTGGAAAGAAACATGTCAAGTGACGCTCTGCAGCCTGTTCGAGGCTCAAATTAGGGAACGGCAGTCGATTCAGCATGTACAATTTCAACTGTCGACCATGACTGTGAGTTTAGATGGAATGGTATGCTCGGCGGTGGTGACTTGAACAAAGACAGGTGACCGCCATTTGGAGTGTGGTTTGTGTTGCGCTGATCAGCTCGGTGGCAGCCGACGTGGCAAAAAGCTTAGCCAAGACAGACAGACAGACGGACATGGCTGAACGGCCAAATTGACGGTGGAGTGAGCGAGCGAATCGCGCTCTTCTTTCTCCCCAAGCAGCACAGAAACATCTGAGAGAGGCTTTCAACCCTGAATTCTTCTTAGCAAGTCAGCCACCCACACACACGCATCACGCAGCCACACACACGCGCTCTCATACAACAATTCCATCGGCAAATCCGACTTGACTCGGCGGCAACCGTTTCCATTCACTTTCAGCTTTCTCACCTTCCTCTCCGCCCCTTCTCCTTTCACGACATCATCACCTACCATCGAGACGACTGAGCACCAAACTCGCTCTCTGTCACCAATTATCATCAACAACACTACTACCACACCCTCCTTTTCGTCGGTGATCGCTGTCGACTGGTGCTCAAGCTCTTAACGCTTTCTCTAGCCAATATGGCATCCTCACTCGATTTGATCGTCCTCGGTCTTGGAGGCTTACTCGCCCTTCTCTATCTCTTTCGCGATAGTCTGTTCGGTGGCGTCGCCAAAGACACTGGTTCCAAGCTCGCCAACGGTTCCGCTCTCGCTGCTACCGATCAAGGTGGTGCTGACTTTGTCTCCAAGCTCAAGTCTCAGAAGAAACGTATCGCTATCTTCTACGGATCCCAGACCGGTACTGCCGAAGAGTACGCTACCAAACTCGCCAAGGAGGCTAAAGCTCGTTTCGGCACTTCCTCGCTCGTTCTTGACCCCGAAGAGTATGAGTTTGAGAAGCTCGACCAGATGCCCGCGGACACTGTTGCTGTCTTTGTTATGGCTACTTACGGCGAAGGTGAACCCACAGACAACGCTGTTGGTCTGATGGAGTTCATCGAGAACCAGTCTCCCGAGTTCTCCAACGGCAACGAGCGTCTTGAGAACCTCAACTACGTCATCTTTGGTCTTGGCAACCGTACCTACGAACACTTCAACGCTGTCGCTCGTAAGCTCGATGCTCGTCTCCAGTCGCTTGGTGCCAAACGCATTGGCGAACGCGGTGAGGGTGACGACGACAAGAGTATGGAGGAGGACTACTTGGCATGGAAGGACTCGATGTTTGAGGCTCTTGCTTCTCAGCTCAACTTTGAAGAGGGTGGAGGAGGCGACGTTGCCGACTTCAAGGTTACCCAACTTGCCGACCACCCCGAAGACAAGGTTCACCACGGCGAGCTTTCCGCTCGTGCCCTTTTGGGCACCAAGGGTATCCACGATGCCAAGAACCCTTACAACGCTGTCGTCAAGGAGGCTCGCGAGCTTTTCGTCCAAGGAACTGCCGACCGCACCTGTGTGCATGTCGAGTTTGACATCGAAGGCTCCGGTATTTCCTACCATCACGGTGATCACATTGCCGTATGGGCCCACAACCCCGAACAGGAAGTCGACCGCGCCTTGGCTGTCTTTGGCCTTCTCGACAAGCGCACTACCGTCATCGACGTAGAGTCGCTCGACCCTACTCTCGCCAAGGTTCCCTTCCCCGTCCCTACCACCTACGAAGCTGTCTTCCGTCACTACCTCGACATCACCAGCCACGCTTCTCGACAAACTTTGAGCAACTTTGCCAAGTATGCACCTTGGCCTGAGATTCAGGTCAAGGTGGAGAAGATCTGCGCCAACAAGGACACTTTCCAGGCCGAGATCGGCAGCCGTCTTCTCAAGACCGCCGAAGCTATGCAGTACCTCGCTGGTGACGACTTGCAGGGTGACGTCAGTGCTATCAGGCCTTGGAACATTCCTTTCGACCGTGTCATTTCGGATTTGCCTCGCGTCGGACCTCGATTCTACTCGATCTCGTCTAGCCCCAAGATGCACCCCAAGTCGGTTCACATTACCGCTGTGGTGCTTCGATACCAGGCTAACAAGTCGGGTCCCTGGGTCCACGGTTTGGCGACGAACTTCATCAGCAGCATCAAGATGGAGAAGAACGGCGAGCAGCCTACTGGTCCCAACGATCCTCGTTTCGGTACCCCCAAGTACCAGTTGACTGGTCCTCGTGGAGCTTACACCAAGGATGGACTGTTCAGAGCACCTATTCACATTCGACGATCTAATTTCCGCTTGCCCACCTCGCTCAAGATCCCGGTTATCATGGTTGGACCTGGCACTGGTGTTGCACCTTTCCGCTCGTTCGTTCAGGACCGAGTCTGCAGTGCGGAGAAGGCGGTGGAGAAGGCAGGCAAGTCGCTAGCTGAAGCTTTGAAGGATTGGGGCAATATCTGGCTCTTCTACGGTTGCAGGAGGGCGAATGAAGATTTCTTGTACCGAGACGAGTGGCCGCAGTACGGCGAGAAGCTCGGTGGCAAGTTTCTCATGGAGACTTCGCTTTCTAGGGAGAAGTTCAAGGCTGATGGATCTAAGCTTTACGTTCAGGATCTGATTTGGGAGAGGAGAAAGGAGATTGCGGAGGACATTTTGGAGAGGAAGGCATACATCTATATCTGCGGTGAAGCGAAGGGGATGGCTCAGGATGTAGAGACCGTGTTCGGTAAGATTTTGGAGGAGGCAAAGGGTAGTGCAGAGGAAGGAAAGAAGGAGATGAAGTTGCTGAAGGAGAGGAGCAGGTTGCTGTTGGATGTGTGGTCCTAAGCGACCCGCGTTTGGCAAGGTACAAGATCAAGAACAGAAGAGATGACGGTTGCTTTTCGCTTGATCAGCTGTGTATATAGTTTGTTCTCTTTGCGTCCTCTCAGTACGCAAAGGAATACTGAATATGCTCCTTATAGACACCCAAGTCGTCCGCTATGATTGATGTTGTTTTAGCTGACATCGTACCATTGAGGATGGTGTTCTAGTAGATGCTCAAGTGACCTTGTACATGCTGCGCTATGCTGTATAGGATTTTGCACAGTAGGAGGGTATCAATTTTCGAGTGTTTTTAGAAACACGTGTTTCTCGATTTTGACGACTTTTTCCCGTTTTTGAACACCCCATTTTGGAGCATCCAAAAAACATTTGCAACAAATGTGACATTTGGTTCGATTTAACACGTATGTTATCAAATACATCGTCGGTAATGAAGGAGGGAAGCAAGTGGTTGCGCATCCGCGCATCCGCACTTCATTTTGGAGAGTGACAAAAAAGTGAGTCCATTTTACTGGGTCCGGAGGCGTGTTTTTAGAAACACGTGTTTTTTCAATATTGAGTGGGCTTACGTAAGGTTTTTGTGCGAAATAAAAACACGTCAAAATCGAAAAACACGTGTTTCTAAAAACACTCGAAAATTGATACCCCCTAGTGCAGTCTCTGGACTAGAAAATTGTAGTCTGCTGCCTGCATGCAGTCAGAATCAATTCAACCGGCGTTTTCACACAGTGCTGCCCGCGCGTAGGAAATATGCAGTGCATTTTCAGAGAGGGTCTTTCACAAGCCACACACTCACACACACACACTTGGTTCTCCCACATCTTGGGGATTCATATGA